TCCAAGATCACACCTGTGGCCCCTGCCATCTCGGGAGCCCCCCCCCGCAACGTGATCCTGCTACGGCCGGGCCTCACGATGCAGCTTCCGCCCTGCCTCGGGGACCCCAGGAGCCCTCTGCCCTTGCTCTGCACGTGCCCGCCCCCTGCCCCCTGCCCCCTGCCCCCAGCGGCGTCTGGTCAGGAGACATGGGGAGTAGGACAGGGTGTCGGAGCCACACCACACACACGCACACACCCACACCCTTCAGGTGGACAAGATTGGCCGGGGCCACCAAGGGGACCCCTCGTCGGCGCTGCTTGAGTTGCTGGACCCCGAGCAGAATGCCAACTTCCTGGATCACTACCTGGACGTGCCCGTGGACTTGTCCAAGGTGCGTGTCCCGCCTGGGGCAGGGACCCAGTGTGGGAGGCGGGGGGCGGCCCGCAGCACCTCCCCGCCGTCTCCTGCAGGTGCTGTTCATCTGCACGGCCAACGTGACCGAGACCATTCCAGAGCCTCTGAGGGACCGGATGGAGATGATCAACGTGTCTGGCTATGTGGCGCAGGAGAAGCTCGCCATCGCAGAGGTGAGGCCCGGACCCCCGCCCGGCGCGACCGAAGGGGCAGCGCCTGCTCAGTGCCTGCCACCCAACCAGAGGGGGGGCGGGGACCCAACAGTGGCCCTGCCCAGAGAGGCGGTGGCGGCAGGGGCCTATCACCGAGAGTGAGGGCGGGGCCCACTGTGAACCCTGTGAGGCACAGCTGTGACACCAGGGTGGACAGACGGATGTACACACACGTACACACACCCACCCACCCACCCACCCCCTGCCCGCCGTCAGGGGCTCCACCAGCTCCGTCAGATTCCAGTCCCACCTGGGGTTCGGGGCAGACCTGCAGAGGAAGGGCTGGGTCCCCCAGGGCCGCCCGCTTTGGGTGCCAGGTAGGGGCGGGGACGCACAAGGTCGGCTGCCAGGACTCCAGGAACCTGCCCCGGGCACCGGGTTATTCTAGACGATACAGCCGGGGAACCGCCAAGGAGGATCTACCCAGCCGGGCAGGGGCTTCTGTGTCCCCCCGGTGCGCCACCCTCCCAGCACCACCCAGCGAGTCTGCCTTCACCCCGCCTCCCTCGTGCAAAGTGTTCACGGAGGCTTCGTTGTGGGCGCGTCGTGGAGCGAACCATTGGTCACTGGTGATTGACAGCACCTGGGGGCCAGGGGTGAGGCTGGGAGTCCCGTCCCTCCAGCCCCAAGGTTGGGTCCTCAGCGACCCGGCCCCAGGGGCCACCCCACCAGCACAGCTCAGGGGTGGTGGAAGGGGGCTTGTGGCCCCAGCTGTCCCTTCTCACTGTCACTCAGAAAACAGGGTCTGGGAAGCTGTTGTGTTAGATCTGGGGCCAGAGACCCAAGTATGGATTTCTTCTTTTTAAAAAAATTTTTAAAATTTCTTTTGAGAGGGACACAAGCGTGAGCAGGGGAGGGGCAGAGAGAGGGGAGAGAGAATTCCAAGCAGGCTCCATCCACACTGGCAGCGCAGGGCTCGATGTGGGGCTTGAACTCACAAACCGGGAGATCGTGACCTGAGACAAAACCAGGAGTCGGACGCTGAACCGACTGAGCCTCCCGGGCGCCCCCAGCTCTGTCCTGTCCCGCTGTCCCAGGCGCCAGGACGAGAGGGAGAGACAGCCTGTGACCATGACACTGGGGAGAATGGTGTCCTGGGCTCTTGGCGCGGAGCGCCCGTGCAGCGTCTGGGGCTGAGCGCTCAGCTCTGAGAGCAGAGTCCCGCGGCGCCTCTGTCCCCGGCGCGAGGCCGCCACCTTCCTGCCGGCTTGGGTCAGGTCCTGCGAGTGCGTGATGCGTCCCCTAGGCCAAGGCAGTTCTCAGCTGTCAGGTGTCCCCCGCGGCTGGCGGCCCAGCTCACAGCCCTGGAGGCAGCGGAGCGAGCGGAGAGCCGGACTTCCCGCCAGCTGGAGTCTGGTTTCTGATGTTTCCTTTCCGGAAAGGGCTGAGCACGTTTCTCCCTCTCAGCCCCCCAGGGGCTGACCCGAGTCTCCCCCTCCTCCCCGGGCAGGACGGGGGCAAGAGCAGCTCTTGGCTGAGGGAGTTCCTGGCTGCTTTTAAACCTTTAAAATGAGAGGAACACAGACTCCCCGAGGCTTTAGGCCAGCGTGTTAGCAAATGTTCTAGGTGCGCGGTTGTGTCGTGTCTCCCCTCCTGTCCCTCCAGCTGGTGCTCAGGACCGCTGTGTGGCGGGTTGGGCTGGGCTGCGGGTGACCTCGGAGGCCCGTGATCTCCCCATTCCTGTCTGCTCAGGGTGGCGGCCGCTTTCCTTGACCCACGGGTCCTGGGTGTGTAGGTGGGGTGAGCCCACGGATCAGGGAGGCCTTCCTGGGGGAGCGGCATCTCCAAGGACATTGGGGGAAGGGCAGGAACGGGATCCGGGCGGAGACCGGGCAGCTTGCGGATGCCTGCGCGCTCTCTGCCCAGACTCCCTGCCTCGCTGGCTCCTTACTCTCCGGGCTCAGCTCTGATGTCGCCTCCCAGGGCAGCCCCCCCACCCTGGGGCCAAGAGCTCTGTGCAGGCAGACCTTGGGGACCTCCGTCATCTTTAGACAGAGCCTGGGGTTTTGGGAGGGCCCCGTGGTAAGCGGGAGCCACAGGAGAGGCCGCGGGGGTCCTGACGGCAGCGGTCCCCTCCCTGCCAGCGCTACCTGGTGCCCCAGGCCCGTGCCCTGTGTGGCCTGGATGAGAGCAAGGCCAAGCTGTCCTCGGACGTGCTGACCCTCCTCATCAAGCAGTACTGCCGGGAGAGCGGCGTGCGCAACCTGCAGAAGCAGGTGGAGAAGGTGAGCTGGGGGTGGGGGCGCGTGAGGGCTGGATGCCAACCCTGGTATACGTCCTGCGTGACCCCACTCACCGGGGTCCCTAGAGGAGTCCCATCCACAGAGACAGCAGGTGGGAGGCAGGGGTAGGGGAGTCACTATTTCACGGGGAAAGTCTCAGTCTGGGGACATGGAAAGTTCTGGAGACGGTTGCACGACCCAGTGAATGCACTTAATGCCATGGAGCTGTAAACCTAAAAACGGCTGAAAGGTACCTTTTACATGCTTTACTGTGACCTTAAAGATCCGAGGCCAGCGGGGTGGGGGCCACGCCCACCCCGCTGCCTTGCCCGCCCCAGGTGTTGCGGAAGTCGGCCTACAAGATCGTCAGTGGCGAGGCCCAGCTCGTGGAGGTGACGCCCGAGAACCTGCAGGACTTCGTGGGGAAGCCCGTGTTCACCGTGGAGCGCATGTACGACGTGACGCCCCCCGGCGTGGTCATGGGGCTGGCCTGGACTGCCATGGGTGAGCCGCCCGGGGTGGGGTCCCCGCACACCCCTGGGGAACGTCTCACACGGGTCCCTGTGTGGTCAGCGGAGTCCCCCAGATACACTGGCCCTGAAGGGAGTCCCCAGGGATCGGGGGCCGCCAGGTGACAGTAGCCAAGCTTTACTTGCTTTGAGGGGAGACCCCACCCCCACCTCTCAGGGAGGCTGGTCAGAGCTCTGTGGACTGAGCGGCCCGCAGGGCTGTGCGCGACAGGCTCTGAACTGAGAACGGTCTACGTGTCTGGACCGTGGAGGGAAAGGAGCTGCGCCGGCCTGAGGAGAGAAGGACTGGGGGAGGGGGGGATTGCACCTCGAATCCAAGGGCCCCCCGAGTTCACGGGCTCTGCCTGGCCCCCCAGGAGGCTCTACGCTGTTTGTGGAGACCTCCCCACGGCGGCCACGGGACAAGGATAGCAAGGGGGACAAGGACGGAAGCCTGGAGGTGACAGGCCAGCTGGGGGATGTGATGAAGGAGAGCGCTCGCATCGCCTACACCTTTGCCAGGGCCTTCCTGATGCAGCGGGACCCCACCAATGACTACCTGGTGACCTCCCACATCCACCTGCACGTGCCCGAGGTGAGGCCCTAGCTCCTGCCTCTGGGGGAGCCCCCCCCATGTCCAGCCCTCACCCACATCTCCCCCCCACCCCTCCCCAGGGCGCCACCCCCAAGGATGGCCCGAGTGCCGGCTGCACCATCGTCACAGCCCTGCTCTCCCTGGCCATGGACCGGCCTGTCAGACCGAACCTGGCCATGACCGGCGAGGTCTCCCTCACGGGCAAGATCCTGCCGGTGGGCGGCATCAAGGAAAAGACCATCGCGGTGAGTGTCCCCCTCCTGGCGGGGTAGTCACCCTTAGAGGAGTCTGGGCCAGAACTGCAGCCAAGGGTAAGGGGCCCCTGCTGGGCCACCCCGTCTTGGCTCCCCCTGCATTACAGGTAGATCTGTTTCCCTCTAACCAGGAATGCCGCGACAGCAGGACACTGGCCCCTTAGGGGAGGTCGGTCTGCCTGACTGTACCCTTGGTGCTGGGCACCCCCAGTTCCCCTTTGACCCTACCCACGTGCCTCCAGGGCAGGGTGTCCCAGCTGAGGCTCAGGCATTGGTCACAGAAGCAGCTTATGCCGCGGGAGCCTGGCTGTCCTGGGGCACCCGCTGTCCCCCATCCTGCGGTGGCCTCCTGGCTGACCTGCGGTCCCCTCCCTCCCAGGCGAAGCGAGCCGGAGTGACATGCATTGTCTTGCCTTCCGAGAACAAGAAGGACTTCTACGACCTGGCTGCCTTCATCACCGAGGGCCTGGAGGTCCACTTCGTGGAGCACTACCAGGAGATCTTTGGCATCGCCTTCCCCGAGGAGGAGGCGGCCGAGGCCCTGGCGGTGGAGCGGTGACATGGCCCCGGGCACCGCAGGCACAAAAGGGCCCAGTCCGGACCGGACGCTCTGGCACCTGAGCCACCAGGAGACTTGGGAGAGGCTGATGCCTCGCCCTCCACTGTGGCCTAATCACGGAGTCTGCACACACGATCTATTTAATTATGATTAAAACCCTTTCCAGTACCACCTGGTGTGTGTGTCTGCACTGCGTCACCGCCACACCTCAGGAAGGATCGCCCCTGTGTCCCCCAGGCCAACACAAGACCCCCATGTTCCAAAAAGGCTTTATTACATACAGAGGGGACGGCAGGGCTCAGTCCTTCTTGGCGGCCGCTTTGCGCATGGCTGCCAGCACGTTGCTCAGCTCCTCTCTCTTCCTCTTGGCGCGGATGTGCGTCCCCACCTGCCGCGAGAAGAGCGCCATCAGCCTGGGCCTCAAGTCCCATCCCTGCCACCGCCAAACCACCCATCCCTTTCCTTTTAAAGCTACTGTTAATTAGGGGGAAGAGGATTATTTAGATACAATACAAACAAGTAAGGAGCAGAGAAACAATTCCAACCAGGCTGGGAGCTGTCTGCACGTAGGGCTCAAGTGCACAAACCATGAGGTCATGACCTGAGCCAAAGCTGGATGCTTAGCAGACTGCGTCACTGGGGCAACCCTGACATTTATTCATTTCAGCGGGACAGGGGCCTCCCTGGCAGGTCCCCGGCTCCCAGCGCAGAGCTCGATAAGGGACTCCAACCCATGAAGCCTTGAGACCCTGACGAGCCAAAACCAAGAGGCAACCCTTAACTGACTGAGCCACACAGGCGCCCCAACAACCTACCTTGTTTGTTATTTTTGAGAGAACAGTGCAAGCAAGAAGAGGGGCAGAGACGGAGACACAAATCTAAAGCAGGTTCCAGACTCTGAACTGGGCGCAGAGCCCTAAGCGGGGCTCGAACCCACGAACCGTGAGTTCATGACCTGAGCCTAAGTCCGAAGTTTAACCGACTGAGCCGCCCGGGCCCGTCCACCTACCCTTTTCTTGATGAACTTGAGAGCGCGCTTGTCCTTGGAGACTTTGAGCAGCTCCATGGCTCGCCGCTCGTACGGGGCGAAGCCGCACACCTCTCGGATCATGTCCCGCACGAACTTGGTGTGCTTGGTGAGGCGCTGGGGACGGAGCCGGGGGGGGGGGGGGGGGGCGGCCGTCAGCGCGATGCTCGGAGCCCACACCCCCGGGGACACCGAGCTCTCGAACCCCCCCCAACCCCCTACTGCAACGGAAGCGGACTCCTCCCCACCCGCACCCCCGAGTCCCGGCCTTCTCGACACCGCCCTCCCACCTGGCCTTGTCACAGGCGGTTTCCCGGGCCGGACACCTCCCACAAGAGGCGCAGCTGTTTAATGACACAGTCCCTAAACACGATGCAGCGGAGCTCCCCAACCTCCCAGGGCCTCCGCTTTCCCGCCTCCACCCGGGTCGCGCGCGCCCGGCAGATACCCGCACGGGGCGCGCGCAGGTGTGTGGCGCAGCTGGGCGTACGCCGCGCAGGCGATCCGCACGGGTCTCCGCTCGCTACTCGGCTGAGCCTCCCCCTCCCCGCCCCACCGCGCTCCCTGCCGCCAGGGCCCACCCGCCTCCCTCCCGCCTGCGTCCCGCCGCTCTCCCTGTCGCCGGGGCCCTACCCGCCTCCCTCCAAGAAGCCCCCCGACGCGCGCGCCAGCACTCACCCCGCGGCGGCGGCTGTGCCTCGGCTTGCTCACGTTCTTGGTTACTTTGTGGCCCTTATTGAGGCCCACGGCCATAGGGTAACGCAGAGCCATGGCTGCAGACAGGGATGGAGAAAGGACGTGGAAGTGAGACCGGGCTCGGTCCCCACCGCCCCGAACCCCGCGTCCCGGCTCCCCGGGGCTCGCTCGCCGCGACCAGCCACACTCCTGAGCCGCTCCGGGGCCCCGGGGCCCGGATGGCAACAGATCCTACACACGGAACGCCCGACTAACCTACTGGTCCTCAATGGCTCCCGCGGCGGAAGGGCTGGAGACTCGCGGAACTCTGGGATATCTAGCTTCCGGGGGTCAAGCGGGCCAGAAAGGCAGGAACGCCGCGCACTCCCCCTGGCGGCTGGAGGACCTGCGGGTCTCCTTGAGCATGCGCGAACCGTCCCCTGCGCATGCGCGCTTACACTAGCGGACGGGCCGTAGCTTTGGTCGCGGCTGCTGTGACTCCGTTTCGCGGTGGCTTGAGTTCGAATCCTACGTTTGCAGGTTCCTGGCTGAAATTCCACCTTGGCCACTGGCTTGCTGACCCTGCGCCAGGAACTTTACCTCCCAGCATCTGAATTTCTTCATTTATATAGAATGAGGACAATACTAGTACCTATTCCAAACTGCAAGATAAAAAGATACCTGGCACAAAATAAAACTTCCATAAACAGATACTGGTTTCATCATATATGGTGGCAAATTCTAGAACTGAAGATGTGGTATAGTGCCCCCAGATGGCACGATATAATTTGATGTAATTTTAGATGGTTCAGGGACGGGAGGCAGGGGTGAAAGAAAAAACTTTTTTTTTTTTTTTGGTCCAGTTTTTATCTTTCACTTCTACTTATCCCCAAGTGATGGTCCCAGCTTGGGGCTAAACTGTTTGGGTTTAGCCCTTGTAACACTTGCTCTTTCTAGAGCTTTGCATAGCCAACAGCTCACATTTTGTAACATTGTATTTGTTCTATAGTTTTTATTTGTCTAGTTGCTTTTTCTTTATGCAAGTGCACTAATTTATCATTTTAGGGAGAGGAGGTGTCAAGTTTTCAGTAATTGGTGTAAATATCGGTCACGTGCAGGTAGAGAATCCCAGCCCCCGCCAATGAAGTCCCACCTCTAAGTACCATTCCTTATCTGTGAAATGGAAACAATGGCAGTTACCAGCTTCAGATGAGATCAGCAATGTCAAGTGCTTAGTGCCTGATACACAGTATCATTATTGGTGCACAAACCACACACTTCATGCTGCAAATAAAACCTTTTAGGCCAGGCAGTACCCTTCCTTTCACCCGTGACTTGCCGGGCAAGGTCTGCCTCTCTTTCAGACTCCACTTCTCCACTCTAAAATAGGGTTGAATAGGGGCGCCTGGGTGGCTCAGTGGGTTAAGTGTCCGACTCAGGCTCAGGTCATGATCCTGCAGTTTGGGAGTTTGAGCCCCGCATCCGGCTCTGTGATGACAGCTCAGAACCTGGAGCCTGCTTCAGATTCTGGGTCTCCATCTCTCTCTGCCCCTTCTCCGATCGTGCTCTGTCTCTATGACTCTCAAAAAAAATAAATCAATGTTTAAAAAAATAAAATAGGGTTGAGAAGTCTGGTCCCCTCTTGACCCACCTGCAACCAGCAAACTGAAAGGACCCAGCCATTTGAACACATTTGTGCCAAGGTAGAAGGATTTTTATAATGAAATAGGAAGCTGGGTCCAGCCCAGAACGCCTTCTTTTCCTCCTCCCCAACCTCAGAACCCATCAGAAGGTGGACAGTTTCAAGGCTGCCCCTCTCTTGGAGCAACGGTAGGGAAATGCTCCAAAACTGGGCAGAAAGAAGAGATCAGGGATGCGGTGGGTCCAGGTGGGAGACGGATAGGGTTCCCAGGGTGGCTCAAGGGTGCTGTGCCGTGTGTGACACGGCCAGGGCCCTGGGGTAAGTCGCATCACCAATCCGAGCCTCAGTTTTCTTGTCTGCAAAATGGAAGCAGCCACCAGTTCGTCCGTGGTGGCCCAGAATGACGAAGGTTCTTCCAAGTGACGGACAGGGTGCCTGGCACACGATCAGCACCTGCACACCGGGAGTGGTGACTGTTTCCAGACGCTGGTCGTTTTTCTCGGTTTTCCTTTTCTGTCTTGATGACTCTGTCTGGAGCCGCGGCCACCATCTCCGAGGCGTCTCGGGTCGTGTCCCGGCTCCCGGACGGCTGGAGGGAGGGCTCCCCTCCGGGAAGATGAAGGGGTAACCACCCGCAGAAGCTCAGGCGGCAGCGGCAGCGGTGACGTTGAACTCCTGGCGGACGAACCAGGCCCTCGGGTGCGGCAGCCAGCCCCGGAGCAGGCAGAGCAGGTGCAAGCGCCGTGGGTAGAAGACGCCGGGGGCGCGTGTGGCGCCGCCGCGGATCACGGCCAGGGCTGCCTTGGGCCCTGGGGCCGCCTTAGCCCTCGTGACGCCCCTGGGGACAGGAGGGCGCGCTGGAGACTGTGGCTGGGCGGGCCACCCCCCCCCCGCCCCCTGCCCCTGATGGCCCTGGGGCCTCACCTGACTCCCTCGGCGACGGAGGCGCGGTCCCGGAGGCCCAGGACACACATGGTGATGGCCACGTTCACGTCCTGCACGACTAGCTCCCGCCGCAGAGAGCCGAAGAAGCCGTCCAGAGCGAACTTGGCTGCCGAGTACGGGCCAGAGAAGGATGTGGGCACATGGCCTAGGAGGGCGGCAGGGCAGCAGCTGAGCGACCGAGGCCGCTCCCCCTCCTCCAGGGGGCCTCCCTGCCCCCTCCAGGCTCGGCCGCATCGAGCCCAGCAGCCTCCCGACTCTCCGCCCGGCAAGCACGCACCGAGCAGCGAGGACACGACCACCAGAGAGCCTTTGCTGTCCGTCAGGCTGGGCAGCGCCAACGAAGTCAGCTGCACGTAACTCAAGAAGTTCACCTGCAGGTGGCGACGGCGAGTCACCGAGTCGCGGAGAAACGCGAGCACGGAAAGGGCGAGCCCTCGGCGCAGTGGGCGGGGCCTGGGGCTGTGGGGGAAGGGCCTGCGGTGGGAATTTCGGAGGGGGTGGAGTCTGGGGCTAGGAGGGGCGGGGCGCGGGCCGCAGAGGGGCGGAGCACCTGCAGGAGCCGCCGTGTAGCCTGGACGCTCCCGGACCGCCTGCCTGCCGGGGTGGCGCCGAGGTGGTTCAGCACCAGGTAGTCCAGTCCTCCTGGCCCGGAGAGGCCCATCAGCAAGGAGCGAGTCCTTGAGGCTCCGCCCCTGGGCCCGAAGAGACCCCGCCCCTAGCGCCGTCACCTTGAACTAGCGAAGCCTCCGCCAGAGCGCTGACCCAATGAATTCTGCCCCGGGTAGCGCCCCGCCCAATAGCAAAGAGACTCCCTGGATCCTGCCAGGCTTCGTTCCGGATCCAATTAGGCCGGGTCCGGAGTTCCAGTCCTAGTCACGCCCCGGACCCCGTAAACCTCCGCCCACCGGCTACCACGGCCCCACCCCATTCGGGTTCTGCCCCGAAGGCCCCGCCCCTCACCCAGCTTGTCCAGCGCAAACTGCACCACGCGCTCGGGCACCTCAGGGGAGGCCATGTCCGCAGCGATGTAGAAGACCTTGGGAGCGCCCAGCTTCCGGCAGTTCCCTACCACCTGGGGGGGGCCAGAGCTGCCCGTGGGCCCGTCCACCCCAGCCGGCCCCCCGCCCCCTGCTAGGCCACTGGGGCCCCAGGCTAAAGCCCCCCTCCCCTGCTTTGAACTTCAACATCCAACATTATTCCCATTATTCAGCACATGTTTTGGACACTACCCATACTCCCATTTCTCGAGGACCCCTCCCTGTTTTACACCCGCCGTTTTACTGTATCAACCCAACACCATAACCCGTGAGAAGGTACTTTTATGGTCTCCGGTTTGCAAACGAGGAATCTGAGGCACAGAGGTTAAGCACCTTGCTTCAGGTCACACAGGAAGCCTGGATCTTTGCAAGGATTTCCAGAAGCCGGGGCCCCGCCTCCCACCCACTCCCACCCCACCATCAAACTGGAAATGGGATGTCTCACCTTTTGCAGGAAGGCCTCCGTGTGGGCAGTGAGCACCAGGTGCGAGCCCAGGCGGGCGTAGTGATACGCCAGCTCCTCCCCGACCCCCGCACTGGCCCCCGTCAGTAGCACGCGGGCTCCCTGGAGGCTGGCTGGCAGGGGGCAGGGTGGTCAACCCTGGGGGTGCACCGGCAGCTGGCCCGATTCCTCCCCCCCTCCCCCCTGCCCCAAGGAACTCACCAGGGTCGAAGTTGTCATCCCAATAGTACGAGAAGAACAGGGCTCCCAGCCCGGTGAGGAGCAGTACCTTCATGGCCCTCCCAGAGGCGGCAGGGTCTACAGCGGGAGAGAGGGTGGCGGGCACAGGCCTGGCTCACAGCCGTACCCATTTCCTCAAATGTGATTTTGTACGAAGATGCCCCAGGCCCCGCCCTCGCTTCTCGGTCTCAGCAGCCACCACCCTGCTCCAGGTCACCAGCCCGCACCCCTGCACCGCCTCTTCTGGGCTTTCACCCTCTGCCAAGCAGCCAAAGGACATCTTGCCTCCCCCTGCTGAAAACCATCCCCATATCATTTAGGACAAAAGCCAGGCTCCTCAAGGGTCACAAAGGTCCTGCGGCGACCAGCCAGCTCCTTTTGCTCGCGCTGCCCGTTTGCCACACCCGCCTCTTCACTGTTCCTCAGAACCAGCCAGTCTCCATCCTGCCTCAGGGCCTTTGCATTGGCTGTGCCCTCGGCCCGGAATGCTCCTCCCAAGTATCACCCACTTCTTTAAAGTCAGCACAAAACTGATTTCCTCCGAGGGTGCTTCCTGGCCTCGTTTTAAAAGCACCTCTGGTCCCTCTCTCTCCCCTGCCTCTACAACTTCCGTCTTCTCAGCACTTGCCATCCCGTGAGGTTATCTTGATGACTTGTTACATGTTCACTGTCCCTCTATCCTCCTGGCCTGTCAGCTCCATGAGGCAGGAAGGAAATGGAAACCTGCTTCTGCTTTGTTCACTCCTGGGTCCTCGATGCCCCAAATTGTGCCAGGCATTCAGTAGGTAGTCAACAGGCACCAGACGGACGCTGAGCGATAGGAGGGACATTGTAGGTAGGAGCTGGGGGAGCCCAGAGAGATGACTCTGCCTGGGGACACCCAGAAGGCATCTAAACGCTGGGCTGGAGACACAAGACCCTATACCATCAGGGGTAAGGTGTGACGTCAGCTGTGGGAGTGAATGTACTTGTTCCAGGAAGAAGGTGAAAGAAACGAGCCAAGTGCTTACCGTTGGGGGGGAGGGGTGTCATGCATGTCCCCTGGAAAAGGCACAGGTCCACCCCATCATGGGGCTTCAATCCGTCAAACTCAGGAGGACAAACAGGAGAGGGGGACTTCCAGAACTGAGACATGGTGGGGTTGGGAGGTCCTTGGATCTTCAGTTTCTAGATCCAGCCCTCAGTCCTTTGCCCCCGCTCCCAAGTTGCAGCTGCCTCCTCCCTGGCGCCCCCATCTTCACACTCCCTCCCTCCCACCCTCCCCTCTTCAGGCAGCCAAAGGGATCTTTGTCCAAAGAAGTCTGATGTTCCCCTTCCTGCTCCAAACCCTCGGGGGGCTCCCCATTGCCCACCATAGCGACCAAGATCCTAACCTCAGCCCACAGTGCCCAGCGGGTCGGGCCATGGCCCCGCCTGTGCATTCTCATCTTCCACCATTCCCGTCTACGAACCTTCCTCAGTTCTCAGAAAAGTGAAGTGCTCGCCCTTCCCGGGTCACGGCAGCCATCCCAGCCTTCCTCACTTCCAGGGAAAGGCTGGGAAGCGCCTCAGCCTGACCCTCTTCCGACCCTGGCCGTGACCACAGCAGCCAGGCAGGCGGAGGTGGGGTCGGGTGGATGAATGGCCGCCTGGGTGGATGGGTGGACGGATGGATGGATGAAGCAGTCGGCCTGAAATGGGGGAGGAACAGGGGGAACCAGACGATCGCAGAACGTACTGGTCCCATGACCTCCCCGAGTCTCAGTTTCCCCTCTGGACAAAAAGGACGTGCGCCCTGTTGCGCGCTCCCAACCTCGCACTTACCCACTCGGGCCTCAGTTCTCCCCACGTTCGAGAGGGGCTGGGGTCCGGACCGGAGAACAAGCCACGAGCCCCTCGGACCTCCCTAACTGGTCGCGTCCAGCCGGGCCCCCGACCGCGCCCCCTCACGTAGGACCCGAGTCACGTGACCCCGAGCCCACCTCCTCAGAGGGAGGGGCTTGGCCACGGAGACCCCGGCGCCCGGGCGTTGCCGGGCAACGGCCCTGGGCCTGGCTCGCCTCCTCCCAGTAGTGGTCCTGGTCCCGCCCCCTGGATGAAAGCCCCACCCCCGACCCAGATCACGTGGCCGAGGGCCGGCTTCCCTCGCACAATTCCAGCTTCGCGTTGCCGTGACGACCAGGAGTAGGCCTAGGCCCTTAGTCCCCCGCGCGGGCGCGGGTGGATCTCCCGGGCTCCGAAAGCTTCTTGGGTCACTCTCCGGCCTCAATCTAGACGCCCTACTCCTGTTTCCCCTCAGAGCATCAGGCCCGTTCCAGGCGGGACTACATTTCCCAGAAGTCTTCGGGGCCTAGGTGAGCCATCCGGGCCCTGCTGACTCCATTTCCCAGGCAGCTTTGCGGCGTCCGGGCTCTGAAGAGTACACTTCTAAGAATCCTCTCGCGGTAGGGCCGCGGTCCCCCTCCGGAGTTTCCGAACCGTCGGGAGACTTCGACTCCCGGAGGCCTTTGCGGCTGACTAGGGCGACTACATTTCCCAGAGGCCTCTGCAGCGCCGCCACCGGAAGCGGCGAGCGAGTCGAGTGTCCTTGCGCGCGGAGCCGAGGGACCATGGTTCCCCGAGTGTGGTCGCTGATGAGGTGCGTGGGACTGCCGGGCGGGCCCCGAGCCCCCGAAAAAGTCCCCTCCTGTGGGCACCCCTTCCGGTTTGCTCCCGACTGGATCTTCGAATTCCGTGGTTTCAGGTCGCCCCATCGCCCAGATGGGGAAACCGAGGTTCAGGCGGGGAGGGGCTTCCCGAGATCTCCTGTCGCCTCCTTCCCACGTCCCAGCGAGCCCTTGCCTCCTGATTGTGTCCGAGATTCCTCGGAGCCTCAGTTGCCTCCTCCGTAAGGTGGGAATGCCGCACGCGCTGTTTCAGGAAGTTAATGCGTGCCCGGAGTGACGTGTGACAGACAAGAAGCGACCGGGGCCACTTGGAAGCCCCTGGAGGGTTGCGCGCAGGTCGAGCCCCCGGGGCTGGAAGGGAGAGAGTCAGAGGCCTTAAGTCTTCCCTGTTCCCTGCTCTGTGCGGGACCACGAGAGCCCGCGCCCCTCTCCAGGGCTTCATTTACCAGTTAAATGGGGCCGCGTAGCTCCGCTTTGCAGTGTAAATGGAGCACAGCACTCAACAGGCATAGTAGGCGTCGGGCACGCCTCTGGGTGTCCAAAGTGCCTTGTGCAGCCTGGCTTCGGTGGGTCGCTCTGAGGACTGTGGCGGCCCCGGGAGTCCAGCTCCCCCCCCAAGTGGGCCTGGAGCCCCGAGGGTGGCCACTGGTGGCCCGTGAGTGACCGAGCTGCTGTCCTTCCCTTCCCTGCTTGCAGGTTCCTCATCAAGGGCAGTGTGGCTGGGGGTGCCGTCTACCTGGTGTATGACCAGGACCTGCTGGGGCCAAGTGACAAGAGCCAGGCTGCCCTTCAGAAGGCTGAGGAGGTCGTGCCCCCAGCCATGTACCAGTTCAGCCAGTACGTGTGTGAACAGACGGGGCTGAAGATGCCCCAGGTACGCTGGGGTTGAGAGTGAGGCTAAGGCTTCCGGGGGGTGGTGGGAAGAGGGGGGCGGCGGGGTGGTATCAGTTCTGGGGTGGCTTTTGGTCCCTGGTCCCGCCAGCCCTGCTCGGTGTCGTCTGCAGTGGGCTGGGGCTCCTGGGCCCTTCCCTTTTCACCTGCCCCCTCCCCGCTCTCTTCCCAGCTCCCAGCCCCTCCAAAGTTTAACTTTCACGTCCGTGACTCCTGGAATTCAGGTAGGCCCCGGTGCCCTTGCTGGGGGGTGGCAGCCCCGGACACCCCACTCAGCACCCCCTACCCCTGTGTCCTGGCCATTCCTTTCCATCGTTCCCCTTCCTGCTCTGTGCACCACCCAGGGGTCTAAGAGGAAAAGGGGTGGAGATTTCAGGGAGGCGGGAGCAGAGTGGCGCCTCCGCGGAGAACGGATCAGACACCGCGCGGCCCTGCCCCATCTCTGCCTCGGTTTCCCTGAGTGGAGCTGACCAAGCTGGACCTGGAGCCTCTAAGAGCCTTGCGGAGCGGGGGTTGCCAGGGGAGCGGGGAAGGGGGGCCTAAGCCCTGTGGCTGAAGGCGCCGCGCCCTCCCTCCCCACAGGCATCATTAAGGTGATGTCGGCTCTGTCGGCGGCCCCCTCCAAGGCCTGCGAGTACTCCAGGGAGGGCTGGAACTACCTGAAGGAGCGAATCAAGTAGCCCGTCAGAGGAGGCCACCTGCCCCAGCCAGGACCAGGGGCAGGGATGTCACAGACCCGGAGACTCCGGACTGGGGCCGAGACCCCACTCCAAGGGCGGCTCCCGGCCTTGCTGGCCCAATAAAGGACTTTGGAAGTGCTGCCGACCCCCGTGTGCTTGCCCTGCGGGCTTGGGGTGGCCCGGCTGCTGCCAGATGCCGGGACCTGGGCTGCTGGTGCCTCGAGGCTCGTCAGGGCTTAACCTTGACCATAGGCATCGGTTCACTCCTTTGCTGTCTGGGCCATGCCTGCGGAGTCCCCAACCTGACGCGGGGGTTGGGAGCACTTGGCCCCGGGTGCTCCGTAGACAGTGCTCAGGACCCAGGAATGGGTTGAGGAGGTGCCGATGGCCCGCTCAGGTTGGGGGTCTCAGTTCGCTGAGGGCTGAGCCCCTGGTGGGCAGCGTGGAGGTGGGGACTCGGCGGAGTGAGCAGAATTCACCTGCCTATGTGGTCACTCGCTGTCCGTCTGGCTCAGCTCACGGAGCACCCGTGTCTGGTCTGGGCTCGGCCCGGCCCTCCTTGCCCGCTCTCCGCCCGCGTTCCACCCTCTCCCCGCAGTCTGGGGATTCCTGGCGACCACAGGCTGCGCGGTTGTTGCTGTGGACGGGGGCTCCCCAGCCCTGCTCCGCCGGGAAGCTTCTGCCCCTCCCTGGGTCAGCTGCCCGGTGGCCTGAGTTCTTCCCCAGCGGACGGGGCCAGCCCCGAGGGCACCGCACCTTGCCCACCTTGCCCTGTGCCCCGGACAGACAACAGGAGGTGGGCTTGGGTGGGAGCCGGAGCCCAGCCCGGGCAGCTTGCCCCAGGAGCGGGGAGCGGGCCTGGGCAACGGCGCCCTGAGCTGGGATGGGACCCCGCCCCCGGCCCCGTTCCCGAGAGTTCTGTTGCTGGGTCCGGCGGTGAGCAAGGAGACGACAGTGGTTACACGTGAGGAAAGCAGAGACCAGAAGCCACGTTTTGCAGGCTCCAGGGAGGAGAAGCTGGCGTAGATTCCCGGGACCGGTGGGGACGGGGTGGTGGAGGGCGGGTGGCCTGGCCTGGCGCGATTTCGGCGGGAGAGCCCAAAGCGACCTGGCACGGCCAGTGGTGGGGTGCCTGCAGGCTGCCTGGCCTCCTGTGCCACCCAGGGCTCCCCCCCGCCCCCCGCCGTCCTGCCTGGGCCATGGCTGGGTTCGGAGCAGGTCCAGGGCAAGGCTGTGACGAGCGGGGCCAGGGAGCCTCCTGACCCTTGGGACGGCCCCGGATCAGAGGTGAGCCCCGTAACCGCCCCCGGCCTGACCGCAGCCACGGAGCCCTGCTACGGGGAGGGAAGCAGATCCCGGGCCCATCGTAGAGGTGGAGAAAGCTGCACGCGTGGTGAGGTTCAAGCCCTGCTCTGTCTGCCCGGAGCCCAGGTGGTGGGTAGTTACCTTAAAACCTTCCTCGGGACACAGGACATCTAGTCGCCTCACCCCCATGACCAGGTCCTGCGCCAAGGTGACTTTCGGTTAAGCATCCAACTCTTGATTTCAGCTCAGGTCATGATTTCATGGTTTGTGAGTTCAAGCCCCACGTCAGGCTCTCTCTGCCAATCCCCTACGCTCTCAAAATCAACAAACTTCTTTAAAAAAAAAGCATTCAGAAACAGAAGGGTTTGTGCTCAGGGCACAGGAAGCTGGGGCTGTAACGTGTCACATGAGGCGCCTGGCATCCTCACGGCCCTCCCGTTACTGTTCCCACCATCGTGCAAAGCGAGGCAGACACGCAGGGGACAGACCCGCCGAGACCACCCCGCCGTGCTCTGGAACAACCCCCGGCCGAGCACGTGGGAAGGGAAACCAGCCTCCATGGGTAGGTCGTTAAGGAGCCCCCTGGGCCCCGGCCCTCCAGCGCCCCTCACCGGAGGCCGGGCGGCCGAGTCCTGCAGCTCCGGGGGCCTGGCGGCGGCGCTCTGGGCGTCGGGCAGCCTCTCCGCAGGCGGGCACCGGTAGAGCTGGCCACGGAGCGACGGCACGTCCCTGCAGGGCGTGCCCGTGTCAGGCTGAGGGGCACGAAGCCGGGGCTCTGCAAGGCTGGGACGGCCGAGGGGCAGCCAGGTGGGCAGGAGGGGCTTGAGGAAGCACCTGGGCGGCCGCACAGCTGTGCGCAGGCCCAGGGCAGGCGAGGCAACGGGGGAGATGGATGCACCTGTGAAAAGAGCGCAGGGCAGGCAGGGCCGGGGCGTCTCACGGAGAAGATCTTGAGCTGCCAAGGGCGCCCCTGGCCCCGGAAGCCCGGCACTGCTGAGGCTGCTCCACGCCCCCAGGGTCTCAGCAGCTCTGTGGGGACGGCCCGTGCCAGCCCTCGCCGCCGCAAGTCGGGGGTTTCTGTTTACCCTGTGGACAGTCCCCGCCTCCCCCCCACCCCCGCCCCAGCTTTCACTTCTTGCCTGGATGGCACGATGCGGGGGGCGTCCCATGAAACATCAGCCATGGCGTGTCCCCACCACCCACAACCTGGGCCTGGGGGCGGCTGGCTGCTCGCCCCCTGCTCACATGGACCCAGCCGCCAGTCCGCAGACTAGGGCGCCATTCTGGACCTCTCCATCCCCTCGTGCAGTCAGTCCCAAGTCCCTCTGGCCCCTTGTATCTGTCACCAGTGCCGAGACCACCTTCCTGGGCTTCCCGCCTGACCCCTTTAATCTTCAGTCTTCTTTTCCCAATGTCCAAGTCTGATCATGTACTGCCTGACTCAGGAACCTTCTACGGCTCCCTGCTGCCCTTGCCGTGCGCCCAGACTCCTCAAAGGGCCCTCCGTGCCCAGGACACAGCTGGTTTTCACCACAGCCTCACACCCCTTCACCAGGACACCCTTCCTCCGGATTCCGACTCATCCTGCCTACGGCTCAGCCTCGCCTCCTCTGGAAAGCACCCCCCCCTTCCCACGCCTGCGCTGAGTCTGGGCCTCCCCACCGCCCTGTGGGTGTCCCATCCTGGCACTTACCACTTCGGGGCCGGGTCTCCCCACCTGCACGTCACATGGGCCTGGGACCAGCCTGGGCACTGTAGGTGTTGAGCAGCACCCCCGCCTCCACTCCCAAATACCAGGAGTCCTTGTCCCCTCGGTCCCACAGCTACAAGTGTCTCCAGGTGCTGCCAGCCGTCTGCCCCCTGGCGACAGTCATCCCAGCTAACCACCACTGCCTTGGGAGTTTGTATTAGTCCCGCGTCCACTGTGACAAAGGACCACGGACTGAGGGCCTTGAAACCATCCAAGCTGAGGCCAGAAGTGCAACCGGAGTGTCGCTGGGCTGAGCTGCAGGTGTGGACGGGGCTGGTTCCGTGTGGGCGCTCCGGTGGGGAGGCCGCTTCCTGCCTCCTCCAGCTTCTAAGCACAAGGGCCCCTTTGCCTTCAAAGGCGGCGGGGTAGTGTTCCCGGCGCTGTTCCCGGCGCGGGGCCCACCCGGGTAGCCCCAGGGAGTTCTCCGTCTCCGGGTCCTTGACTGAATCCTGTCTGCAAAGGCCCTTTGAGGGGCCAGGTTCCAGGGCCTGGCGTGGGGACGTCCGCGGCCTCCGGAGACAGGCTTCATCCCAGGCCCGTCTCCCCCGGCTGTGGGTTCTGAGGGGACAGCGGCCCAGGCTGCCCCAGTGGTTGGCGCATCCTCAGCCCCCAAACAGGGCCGGACCCCACTTGGGACGCATCAGAGGTGGAGCCCAGAGAGAGGGGCAGCCAGCCGTGGTCGGTTTCCACAGACCAAGCAGCAACAGGCCTCCCTCGCCCTACGGCTCCCCTGGACGGCGGGGGTGGGGTGGGGGCTCCCTCCACAACCCCCACCCCCACAAGACCTGGGAGCCACGCAAGGGAGCCTGTGGACCACGTGGGGAAGCAGCAGGGCCCCAGGTGCACCCCTCAGTCCCCCCCCCACCGGGACGCAGTTCCACTCAGGAGACCCTAGGGGTCAAAGCCACAGGGACCGGGAGCAGAAGGTGGGTACCGGGGGCGAGCGTGTAATGGTCGTGGGAAGAGAAAAGGTTCTGCGGATGGAGGGCAGTAGTGGTACCGATGCCACAAACTGTCCACTTAAAAATGGTTAAAATGGGAAATTTCAGGTGATACGTAGGACCAGATTCAAAACAAAGCACAACAGCCTGCTGAGCAAGGGCTGGGGGCGGGCAGAAACCTCTGCGCACATCAGAGGCCCTGGAGGAGGAGGGACAAAACGGCCCGGGCTCAGGAGGCGGCGGGCATGCGCCACCAGCCAACTGCTTCCGGAAACCCTAACGGTCCCTTTAAAGCCACCCCCGTCTGTCGGCCACCTGTGAAGGAAGGGCCATGACTAAGCAACGCCAAGTACAATGTCAATTTATGAAAAGACGTGAAATAAAAAGAGACGACGCTGTGAATAAAGGGTATGTGAACAGAAACACATTTATTACAAAAAAAAAAACAAACCGAAACAAAACAAGAAAAAAACAAAACAAAAAACATTCACATTGTATTGAGCTACAATATGGCAGCAGATAAAAAAAACGATCGTACACGGCTGAAGAGAACTCCTAACAGAACGCGCTCCCGTGGCCACGGGACGGACACGGGACCCCAAGCACTCAGTAGCGGCGCGTGAAGCGGGTGTCGTTGGGGCGGCTCCCCCGGTTCTGGCCTCCGAATCCGCCCTGCATTCCGCCGCGGGGGATCACGTGGCCCCGCGAGGCCCCGCCTGGGGCAAAGCTGCCGCGCCTGTGACACACAGTTCCCATGTCATTCGTGTCGCCTCCCATGCCCACCCCCCACGCCCCCTCCTCCGGCCTAGCTCCCCACCCCCACCCCCCGCCATGGCTGTGCAGAGGGGAGAGTGGAGAGCTGGATGCGCAGCACAACAGCTTACCCTGACATCCCTCCCCGGTTCATCATGTGACCTGGCCCAGAGTGGCCGGACATGCTCCTTTCGCCACCTGCAAGACAAGAGATGCCTGTCACTCGGAGCCTCTGCACGTGGAGCCTAGAGAACGCTGACACAGGACTCCCGCGACTCGAGTCCCCCTCCTGAGCCACCCAGCCGTCCCAGACCCTGCAGGCCCCGGTGGATGCAGGGACCACGCACACCTGCTGTCCTTGCCAAGTGGCAGTCAAGGAGTTACCTGTGCCCAC